GCCCAAGAAAAAACGTTTTTGTCAAAATAAATATTCTCGTGCTAAGAAATTATTACACAACACCATTTATTGTACTGATTACTGGTGCACGTGACTTACTATAGTCCACTCTCATGCAGCACTTACAGTATACAGACTAAATGTCTGAATCTAACTCTCACATGTAAAAAATCAAACAAAAAACAGTACTTTTTTTTCAGTAGTGCCCGCATGAAATCCTAATGTTTCTAATGCCATGATACTGCCCGCTGTCATCTTCACATGTGAGGGACAAACATACACTGCCTGCTCTATCTGTGTTCTTAAATGGATGAGAATAGTTAGTCTGATTAAATGTCTTAGACACAACTCATAGTTTGTTTTCCTTTTTCAACAAGTCGGTTGGTTATTTTGATTACAAAATCAATAGTTTAACTAGTAATTGTATAATTTTGTCATTATTTTTATCGCCACAAACTTTTGCGTTCTCCCGCTATTCGACTCTACGAAATAATTAAAAACTGTTAATTTCCAAAAGGGGAATAGGGGTCGTCAAAAAGTACAGAAACAAATTGAGTCAAAATGCAAAGATTATATTTTCAATCTTACAACTAGGGACTCTAAAAATGTAAACAAACTAGGCTGGAAATAGTGTCCACATTATTTTCTCAAGCTACAAATCCCTATTTTGACTCCATGTTTGCAGTATTTGTCAATTTTAGTGGAGTCGAAATAGGGATTTGTAGCTTGAGAAAATAATGTAGACACTATTTCTAGCCTAGTTTGTTTACTTTTATGGAGTCCCTAGTTGTAGGCTTGAAAATATAATATTTACACTTTGATTCAACTTGTTTCTGTACTTTTTGGCAATCCTTATTCCCATTTTTAAATTAATAATTTTTGATTGCCTTGCTTTTAAGTTTTTTTATTTCCGTTTATGGAGAATACATTTTAAGCTACATATGCATTCATTTGAATGTTACATGTTTTTAAACAGTTTACTGCTGCAGTGGCATTTTTTCCACTCAACCATTATTTCTGAGCCAGGCAGTTTCGTGTAAACACGCAGGTGTCGAGTACAAAGGAAGCCGCTCACAACAACATCGCATATATTATGTATTTATAGCTACATAAAGAAACTTTCAATATAAAATAGTCAACTTTATAAATAGGTCATGGACATTCGTAGCGTTTCATATACTATGTCAGTCTAAGTTTTGGTGCAAAATACCGAACCGATTTCGCTGTAGGCCTGTGAAACAAAAATATGAATAATAATAATAACAAAATATGCACTCAAAATTTCAACGAAGTACGAAAATCAGTAGAATAAATCACCTCTCACAAGAGTAGAGAAATCTACTATGGTAATCGTCTACTGTTAGAAAACTTGCTGAAATAGTCGCAGAAAACCATGTAGAGACAAATTACGACAGCCAACTCGAGAAATGATTAATCCCCAACTTGGCAGTTTCCAATTAATGTGCTATAAGTTACACAAATTATTTTCCATTTAAAGCGCGTAAGTAAAATACAAGATTTTTTCAATGACGAAAAGTGAAGGACTTAGAGAAATTCTTCAGGGTGAAGAAACGAAGGCTCTTGAATTAATTTTAAAACTACCCTATGACATACCAATACTGCATTCATTAGTATTGTCCAGATTTCAGTAAAATATTCATAGCCGTTTTTCTGTAGCGGCATATAAAACTCTAATCAATAATATTAACGCTGGAGACACTGTTATATATATACATTTATTTATTTACTCAAATAAAACTAAGAAGCCTTTCGACTGGTATAGAAAGGAGTATTTCCGTTTAGTATAACGGTGCTTAAATGGTTTCTACATTTCTTCAATGTTTGAATGGCTTCGAAGAGTTTATGTTTGAAGAGAAGAAGAACTTAAAAAATTTTAGAGGGTGAAACCTCTACTTTTGAAAATCAACATAAAAATAGCCCTACACCCTTCGCAGGAGTTTGTTTATAACTGTGCAAAGATTTTGGCACAGTATACCTAGCCGTTTTTGCTGTTGGCTTCGGTGCTTGAGTGGCTACGAAGAGAAACTTGGCCAACAGCGATGAAACAACTGATATAATTTCTTTCAAGAATAGCATAAAAATAGTACTACGTAGGAGTTTTTTTTCCATAGGTTTACTTGGTTTGAATAAAATATTCATAGCCGTTTTTTCTGTAGGTTTATGAAACAAGAATAATATAAATAATAATGATATGAAGAACAAATGGATGAATTTTGTCTAACAATCGGAAAATCAACTTTTTTGCTATTATCAATATATTAGCAGCCTTAGCCATTGAGATAGAAGGTATTGGGTGTTATTTCAAGAACAAGTCTGCTTTTTAAGATGGTTTTGCTCGTATAGTCTATTAGATATTTTGTGAAATTCCTGAGGGAACCCTATTATGAACTACTATCGTGGTTCATGATAACTAAGCTTCAGGCAGAGATTGTTCTCTGTTGTTAAGTATTGTGTTATCTAAAGTGCATGACAACGGTTTCTAATGTCCGTAGATCACTTTTGTTGCTAGTTGGATGGCTAAATATCACTGTATTCCTCTGAACTTAAACTCTAGTTGATATAGAGACCTCAATAAATGACGTCATTCTATAGGTACACAGCAACATGTGTTATAGTAGTTTATCTTAGATGTAAAGCATCCCGAAACTTACGCTGTCGGAGCCATTTAATGAACTTTCGTTGATCACAAGGCATTGTTAGGGAGGATTATATAAATTATGCGTGTACTAATGACGAGTTTTTCAAGAAACAGGAATTCGCGATAGTGCACGAAGTAAACATCTAATATTTATTTATTATGTAAATTACAATCTATTATTTCGTTAATGTTACTTTTAATAAACAGTATTGATTAAAACGTTCATTTATCATTGCTATCAATTATATACTCTTAACATAAGGATTATTTTGCATTATTAGCTTGGTGCATTGAACTTCGTGAGTTGCTATTGGGATTACAGCCGAAAATATCGTTATTAACGACAGTACCTAACTGATAAGTAAATTTATTTTAATCTTGATAAGTAAGAACAGTATATTAGATTATATATATTCATTATTGGATGAACTCTTACTTATGATCTATGTAGGTAGACTGCTTTGGTTATAAGTTAATATTAATAAGTACAGAACATGACGATCCATACATAAACAGGTCTTGGAATGGTTCTTAATGATTCACATGCAGGGCCAGAATTACATTACACTTGCGTTTTATATTACTAGTTTCCACGCGTATTAAAATGTTTCTCATCTTAGCATAAAATTAGCTACATTTTTATGTTCCAAGATACCAACAAAATTTCTAAAAGTTAACATGTACCTTCCTCCCCCTCCTTATGTACGTTCTTACGTGCAATCAGCTCAATTATGATATACAAACATCAGAAGTCATTTGAAACAATGTTGGACAATAAAAGCCCCCTTATTTCTCTGCTACACTCTGTTAATCTTTAAACCTAACAATATTCACACATACTTATCTAGATGGTGGCACACCATCAACATATCCATATGTTCATCTATAGTGTTTCTTGTGAATGGTCTTGTTGGGTTGGTTGAAGATGGCAAGACATTGGATTCTCCACATACCCTTAAGATGTCGGGTGCATGACCACCTCCTGCCCCCTCACTGTGATATGTGTGAATAGTCCGACCCTTGAAAGCTTCGATCGTTTGCTCTACACAAGATGATTCATTCAGTGTGTCTGTGTGAATCATAATCTATAAGCAAACCAGGAAAGGAAAAAAGTTCTGGACATTTTTCTTCTTCTTCTATAATTTCATAAAATATATTTTCTCCCATAGGAGATTTTGAGCTGTAAAGTGACTAATCTTATGCAAATGCCAAAAGCGAGTTTAGGATTAACAAACAAATAATACATTTTAGGAGATAGTTATTAATGATTTAGTTTAACAAATATGTTAGTCATAAAAATTTAAGTTACATTTTAAATATTTTATTACAAGGTGTATTTTGCATTAACAATAGTAAAGAATTTTCTTTTCAGCATATTCATATTAAGTATTTATTAATGTATGTCTTAGTGACATTCTACAATAACTTTAATATGTTAACCTTATATTTATTACTGTGACATTCATTAAATAGTCATTATTGCAATAAGTCTTAATTTCAGCATTTTAGATTTCATCATCCCGTTACACCTCTAATACGTCAGTATCTGAAAGTGTGTATAGAAAACTGAATCTTAAGATATGACTAATATATTACCAAATGTAGAAGGCTTATGTTATGCTTATGATTTGCTAATTTCATGTGTACATGTGTAGTTGTGCATGGGTGTAAATTATTTTAAAGTTGCAGCTGCACTTGGGATTCATTATTCGTATTTTGAAATATAGGAAAGGTTATATAAAGTTTTAATCAGTTTAGCATCAACGAAATTCGCCCTCCTCTGCTCATCAGTAAGTCTAAAAGTTTATATCACGCTTAAAATCAGATTTTCGATAGCCGCGATGGGCATAGCAGAGACAGCCCAATTTTGTAGCTCTGCGCTTATCAATACAAAAACAAACAAAATTAATAAAGCTTAGCAAAATCATTTAAAGTGTTTTTCCAAATTTTATGATACATTCTATGAACTGTCGCTAAGTCTGATTAAATATTTTCACTGTTTAAAGTGTTCTTTTTGACCAAACTAACGTGTTACCTACATGATGCTCACTTTTTTCCGATAGCAACGCTTTCACAGGCAAATCCGGCTTCCAGCCAAGACTCTCACAAATCTAGACTTGAGCTCTATTGCCTGCTTTCCAATCTTCCTCAGCATTACTGTTCCACCAGTACGAGGTATTCTTTTTTTTTTGTAGAAGTTGTTGCTTTGACTTCACTTAGCATCCTATACAAGAACATCTGTCGTCTTGATACAGAATAATTCTTGTTGGTTCACGTGTTTAGCAGTTATAAGGTTGATAGCTATATTGTTTTCACATGCGTCCCAGATGGGATGTCTGGCATTAGATTTTCCTACCACAAGATTCAAAGGAGTTTTGTCAGACAGGTCAGGTAAGAACCTCCAATCTTCAGCATGTGTTGCAATAGCTTTCATGAACATACTGATGATTCAGATATGTGGGGTTGCTTTTGGTCATCTATCTCTATGTTTCGTAGCTTGCTGTGGTTATTGTACTATTGAGAGCTGTTATAATGTTCTTGACAGATGTATTGTCGTGTCAAAGCCGAGATCCCATACTGAGTACACGAGATCCATTGCTTCATTGGGTACCTATATTGTTTGAAAACAATACATTAACCACTTTCTGTTCGTAACTCTCACCCTAACAAGGTAGGTGAGTGACGACGGGCTCGTAGCCTATTAGAATGGAACTGCGAGGGAGGCCAATAGGGCATAAAGATACCGTCCCACCATCTAAAAGTCTCACTTCATGTCAATCAGCACTGCGTATAACTAGAAACTAGGCTCTCCATTTTGTTTCCACACTATAAAAACATATTGTAAAGAAGTATCTTCATTCATGATCTGTCAACCTGCCCAGTAAGTGTGACACAATATGACACACAGCTGAGTTGTATCATATTCTATAGATTCATACGCCATACTGAGAATGGAGTATGTTCTAATAAAATTATTTAAATATGCAAATCAGCAAACCATATGACAACAACAGCTAATATAAATTTGCAGAGGAATGGCATCTATCAGATTTACATTTTGACATTATTTAGTATCATGTAAGTAGTTTGATGCCACCAAAATAAAATTATAGCTTTTGGGAGTATGTATAACAACACTATCCGACGCCAAATATTCATACACTCAGATCAAAGATGTTTTCAAATCGATGATTTAGGATTTAATGTATTTAATGGTATTGGAAAACAAATGAGCATTTATCAACTTTAGGCACCAAGGCCATCCATAAAGAGACCTGCGACAACTCTTACCCAGCCATTGTAAGTAAATGAAGTATCTTGTGACAGGCGAGAGTCCACGAACACAAAGTTCAATGTCAAAAGTCATCAATGTGTTCCAGGCAACAATACTCAACACAATCAAGAAACGTATCCATCTGGAAAAGCGTCACAAGTCACGTGTACAGAGGTTTCTTCTATGACATATATGTGTTCAAACGTTACAACCTCAAGCAGGTGAAGAAGACTGGTATTTATGTTGTTCTGTATGAAACCACTCCCATCGAGTTACCGGACATCGCGCCTAAGAATTTCTTTGTGGTGGGACTGTTGAAATTGGTACTATAGACCGTCGTCCTCATACACTAAATAGCTTATGAAAATCTAGCAGAGAGGAAGGGTGTGCTTTAGATACGACGACTTCAGGGAGCCTCTTGCAATGGAATATATTCTGTAGTACTACAGGGAAGCTGCCCCGTCGTCAAGTAGACCAGGTGGTCTGTAACAATGTAGTATGGCTTCAAATCATTTTAACATAATATACAAAACACTTGTAATGTTGCACAAAACGAAGTTCCAGGTCGTTTAACACTAGGACTAATCTTACCAACATATATAATTAAGCAACTAGTAGTTTTGTATTTGTACTTAGAATTCAACTAACATAAACTCAAATTCTGATTAGAAGTAAACACTAGATCTATCACTAGTAATTAAAAACATCGTACTTATGACAATAACTGAATATATGATAACACTGTATATAACAAAAATCTACACAAAATAACTCTACACTTGATATTAAATCATAATAATTTGTACTAAATCTACATAGTAGGCAAATTACCTGAACTAAACATTTATACTTGTGATAAATTAGTACTTATTAATTAATAGCGCTAAAAACTTTACAGCACGTTATAGACCATTATAAAATATTCTCTCTTCACCATCCTTTTTCCATTTTTTCTTTTCTTTATTATTTACATTCTCTCTCTCTTTCTTTTGAGAAGTTTGCGAGTATACGTATATTTCGTGTCCTAAACTATCCCAATTAACTCGTCACTATGATTCGCTACCCTTAGTTAGCCTTTATTCTACAACAGACTTCATGAACTTAATGTAGGTCTAACAAACATTAAGACTCGTTGATTATTATGAGAAAATTACAACTTGCAGTATTTCATATGGGCATTAAGACCTCTGTGAAGAAACAGCAGTCAATTTCTTTTCCTTTCTCCTTTCATTCTTTGATTTATGTGAAGAAGAAGAGAATGTATTGAGTACAGTGTTACTATGTGTTATAGATTTAGTTTTAATTACAATTTGCAGTATTTCATATGGGCATTAAGACTTCTGTGAAGAAACAGCAGTCAATTTATTTTCCTTTCTCCTTTCATTCTTTGATTTATGTGAAGAAGAAGAGAATGTATTGAGTACAGTGTTACTATGTGTTATAGATTTAGTTTTAATTACAAGTACAGAATCATCACTTGATTAATTATAAATCTAATGTTGGAGACAGCTGAAGTTTAGTTTTAATACACGTACAATACATCAAGTCTGAGACAAAGATTTATCTACTGATGAGGTCAGTCCCGACGCCAAACCATGTGGAACCTATTTGTGTATAACATTAGGGCGGATAAGCTCCACAAACCATAGAATGTTTGTGTACCAAATACATTTCATACAATACTTTAAGGATAACATTATATTCAACTATAACGAATCTATTTCAGTATTTCTTTTAAAGCTAGTCATCCATAGAGTATACCATAAAACAGTAAAACTACCAAAATTACCACATTCTGGAACTGCATTTAGAAAATCATACACTAATGAATCACTTTCAAATCTGAGCAAGTTTTCAAATAATGAAACTGAAACTTACAAAATGTTTTCTTGTTTTTCATTTTCCTTATCTCAGGTAAGATTTGTCAATCAAGTGCTCCAAATGAGGTTTAAATCAACAATATGGTAGCAGTTTTCAACGCAAGCATTTTTAGAATTCATAAAACTATTCAAGTTTTAAAAACAAAGAAATATCTTTTAGTAATATATGAGGCTTTAAAAATGAACAGGTCTAACTTTTGTTTCCCACAAGTTACTGATCAGGAAGCCTTTCGTTAATACCAGAACTCGTCAGTTGGGCTGGACGACGAGAAACAAAATATTTTCTGAAACGCTATTTACACAAACGAGAAGAAGTATAAATCAGTAAGCCTAACATTTATGATAAAAATAACTTAATTTGTCCATTTTGGATTCAAAATATCTGATCTTTCAGCACAACTGACGAGTTCTGATATTGATGAAAGGTCTCTTATGCAATGACTTGTGGAAGACAAAAAAAAATAGACTTCAAATGCTATTTTACACGTCACTCGTTTTGAATCCGAAATAGATAAATTTAAAAAATTTGAAAAAAATTCATGTTAATCCCACTAACTTCAGATTCAGAAAACTTTCAGAGTTATCATTTCTGTAATCAAAACAACAAAGTTACAGCACTTAACTATAGGAAATAATTGTGACTATACCTGAACGTCACACTCTTCTGCGACACGGAGGCAGTGGTCAATTGCCGAAGGTGTTGACCCCCAGTCTTCATGCAGTTTTAATCTGAACAAAAAAAAATAATTTTCTGTTATATTTTGAAACTTCGTTAAGTATAACAGACAGAAACAAACAGTTTTAAAGCGCACTGATAGTTTGCTGTTTACATGAAGAAATATAAAACAGTACTTTGGTTAACATAACTTTTAAATATATTTATAACTCGTATCTATTTTATTCCTTTCTTTCTTCATACAGATAACTTAACTTAGGTTCTCCTTTTCGTAATATGATGTACATTTTCCACCAAAAAGAAAACTAACTTGAAATAAAATTTCATTAAAACTCCGGAACATTTTCTACAAGTTAAATCTCTATTTCTTTTTGTTTCAAATGCAAACTCATTTCAACTAGATTGTGCGAAAAGCAAAAATTTATATTTCAAGATAATTTACTCTTAGAAACTCGGTATCTCTGTATATATGTAATACAGAAAATCACATAAAAGCAATTAAGAACTCTATTAATTTGTTAAATTTTAAAGTAGGAATTTGTGATTTCCAATACATAATAAACGACCTCATTGAAAATTATTGAACATATACCTAAAATCCAAGTAAGAGTAACTGTAATAAAAGCCAAAAAAAAAAAAAACGAACAGAATACTCTATCTCTTTCAAAAAGTGTGTTCGGTTTTTTATTATTAGTAGTATATCGTTGGTTTTTATCCACCGCGTCTCAGTTTTACTGTTAATATCTTGTAATGAATGTAGGATATGAGAACTCGGAGCCTAAACGTTTCTTTGTCTGCATGCTGTTTTTTTACAACAGACATCAAGCTGGCAAAAAATTTTACAAGGCACTTCTGTACGAAACTTGATATGCTGGTGTATTCTAATCTGTGGAATATGGTTTAGGTACCGGAATTTTAATAGTCGTTCTTTTTTTTCTTAATAAATAAAAAGCATTCTAAAGAGCACTTTCCACTTTTTCAAAGAAATAGGTTGTTTACGCTATTGTTAGCATGAAAAGAAAATGAAACTCACCCAATAGCTCCAGCTTCTATCTGCTCTCTAAGTTCAACGGAAGTTCCTTCTGAGCGAGATGTGTTACCTTTTCCTATAAAACAAAATAATATTGGCATTATACGTTTAATAATTTTCACGTCTGATTTTGGACAACGGGCTCAGGTCAGGTAGAAATTCTGAACGTATTTTAGTAAAATAATTAGAACTAACTTTAAGTTTGTAATATTATTATTCTCGACAGTCGGTATCCGTTGGAAGAAAGAGTTGTAAAAGTATGAACGAGAACCTTGCACGCTGCTGTCGAAAAGATTAACAAGAAAATTATTTAAAATTTGCAAAAAACGTAGAAACTGGAATGAAATGAATTAGGAAAAGCCAAACATTATCATGTCCCGATGGTGTTAGAACAACCAAGCATAATTTACAGGTATTGATATTTTCAACCTGAACGGTAAAGTAAACCGCATGAAATGAGCTTGAGTAAAGATATAAATTTAACTATGTTATATGTATATGTGAAATAATTACATGCTTTAAAGATTATTGTTAAATATCAGGTAAGAAACCACACATTTATCTGGAATGTCGACCATGAATTGAAATTATTGATGAGATATTTCTCCCTATAACAATTTAAAAACGTCACATACTTTACACATAGAAATAACTTGTTCTACTTTCAAGTGTTGGACAGTTAGCTAGGATTCGAACCCCCGAACCTATGATCCCGAATACGGGCACTTTAACCACGCTGATTGGTTGTGAAGCATGCAAAAATGTCTGATATAACACCTTACGACGGCCGGAGAATTCACTGGTCGAAACGTTGTGAAAATAATAATAATACACATAATAAAGACGAGAATAATAGTCCGAATAATTAAACCATTAGTTAGACAGCTAGTTTTGCATAGTAGAAATTCACCCTTAATTAAAAATTTAAAAAAGAGGTAAAAAAGGGAAGTTAATGATGTGACCCTCAACATAACTATTACTCACATTTGATAATGTTCAAATGTGGTAAGCCAATTATAATTATGGGAAGCTAATGATGTGACCCTCAACATAACTACTACTCACATTTGATAATGTTCAAATGTGGTAAGCCAATTATAATTATGGGAAGCTAATGATGTGACTTTCAACATAACTACTGCTCACATTTGATAATGTTCAAATGTGGTAAGCCAATTATAATTATGGGAAGCTAATGATGTGACTTTCAACATAACTACTGCTCACATTTGATAATATTCAAATGTGGTAAACCAATTATAATTATACTCGCCAACAGGGAAAAAAGTGGATGACAGGTTTGTTTCTACACGAGGGCTATCTGCGCTAGCCGTCCCTAATTTAGCAGTGTAAGGCTAGAGGGAAGACCACCGCCAACTTTTGGGCTACTCTTTTGCCAATAAATTGGGGAATTGACCGTACCATTATAACGCCCCCACGGCTAAAAGGGCGAACATGTTTGGTGGGACGAGGATTTGAACCCGCGACCCGCAAATTGCGAGTCGAGCGCCCTAACCACCTGGCCATGCCGGGCAGGACGACGGGTGATAATATGCAAACATATCAGAAATACGACAATAAAGTTCAATATTGCCACACGTACAAAAGCAATGTAGATAATGTTTTACCTGTAAATCCAAAGTTCATAGGAAAAGCATCTGTACTCTGAATCATCAACCTGTGGAATACATAACAAATACACTTTGATGTATCATACCTAAATAAAACAACAGCTACTAAACAACTAATTTTGTCAATCCACATATGATGTGTATTTGTTCGTTTGTTTGTACTTAAGCATAAATCTACACAATGGACTATCTGTGTTGTGCCCACTAGGGGCATCGAAACCCGGTTTCTAGCGTTAGAAGTCCGCAGGTTTATCGCTATACCACTTGCATAGTTTTTAAGTTGAAGTAAACTTTAATTAATACGCTTGGCAAAATAGCATCTTTCATTTTCCAAGATCATCCATTACATCATGAAACTCGGTGTTCACAATTCACTCGCCACAAGACAGTATTTTACTTGCTATGAAATGTAAACATGGATATTTAAATTATTATATATCGTAACAGAATTAATATATTCTAGCTTTCCTTGTCATTTCTGTAAAGTTTTTCCATGCAAGTATTCATTTTATTCGGTATTACACATTTCCAGCTCAAATTACTTGATCGGTGTAAAGAATGAGATGGAATCTACCTCCAAAAATATACTTGAGGTTGTTTTTATTCTAGAATTGAACACTTTGCTGGTACTATTTCTCCCATATACTATTCGTGACGACAACGCAAGACTAGTTTTTGTGTTTTAGTTCACGAAAACAAATGCCTTCTTTCAAGAACAAGTACCTTTACTTTCATTAATCGAATAAAATAAATCTGGGCAGCGTTTCTCAATTAAGCTAACAAGGTGGCGAAAGATTTCATTTAACCAATATGCACGTAATTCCAAAAAAATTAAACTGTGTTTTTCTATCAGGAACGTGTATTTATTACGTATTAAATCAGTGGCAGAATTATTTAGCTTGTATTTAACAAAAAAAACATGTCTGAAATACCCGTCAACTGACGGGGAATGTTTAAACTCAATTAAAACAATGTAAGTTTAACAGCAATTATATTTTTCAAAGTAATAACTTGAACATAAACTTTATCTCAAAATTTTAAAAGTATAACAAAGCTTTTTCGTAAACAACATTCACAGTTTACTTTCCATCTACCAACAAATAAATATTTTGAGGTGATCCCACCCTTGAACACCTCACATCTCATTGACCATGAGTAAAGCATGGTTGTTTGAGAAACAATCTAGCAACTTTGATACTTTGGTCCCTTTAGAATACTCAACATTGTCTAAAGCGTTAACCTGCCAAGATTGTTTTAGATTAACTTAATAGGCTGAGAGTAATTATCCAACAGGCTTTACAAAATTGAAATAGGGTATGTTCAATTTTGACCCGCATAGGACATTTCCCATAGTTTATAGTGGTTACATACAAATTTTGGTTGAGACTGGCCTAATAGGCTCGGAGGTGTTAGGATGCAAACAAATACATTTCGTCTTTATAGACAGATAGATGTTATAAACATAACAACCTTTTACTTATGCCACCAGATGGCAAAAGTTGTCCAAATTCAAAGTTCTATTTATAAATGATACTATAACTAACTTGTGAACAAAGAACAATAATCAAAAAAGCAAGACGTTCTATATGATTCCCAAGTTGTTACTGAGAAAAACTGTTTGTTATTGAAGTTTATCTTTAAAAAAAAAGTTTTTTTCTCATTACATTATTCCATATTTTCGTTGAATTCTTGTTTTTGTTAAAACTTGTATAATTGTCATAAACACTTTTTTTTTTCACTGAAATAGAACTCAAAATAAAGGGGGGTCCAAAATTATATTTTCTGTTTTAAAATTTAATAATTAAATAACTAAGGAAATAGAATCATGTAGTTTAACATTTTATAGCCCAATTCAAACATTTTTTATTGCCATGTTGTTGTTTTTTACTCTAGTGAGTAGTATTACACCATAAAATGGTAATCATGAAAGAAACGGTTTAATGTGTCATTTGACTTACAGGGACCAAGTCAGTAATTGTGGTGCAGCGTAATTACAAACGTCAGTACAGGAAAGAAGTATGGGGTTTGTGTTAGGATATCGTGTATTGCACACCTATAGCAAACATCATGGAGCTAAAGATCAGGATAACAGACACCATCGCTACTGTAACTGTGTATCTGTTGCAGTGAACGTGGACTGAAATCGAATATAGGTTAGACGTGCTGAGAGCCACTAATGATGCACACGTAGATGTCTACTGACTGTTTAAGTAGTTGGGGTACAAGGTATTGAAAACTGCATAGTTGTATTGCATTTATTAGTTAATTATTAAATTTTAAAATGGGAAAATAATTTGGGCCACCCTGTACACTAATATTTGTGTAATATCATTAAATAAACCTTTTCTAAGCTATTTCCAAGATGTAATGATCCTAAAATATGGTAAATGGTAATTTATCATTTGTATCAAGTGAAGAAACTCCATATTTTTCAAATTAGAAACGTTCGAGCATCAATGTCATGAAATTAACAACAACAGACATTCGTTATTAATTGGAGGTAAGAAACCAACGATTTGTTAATACTCAGGTGTATTGTGTTGAATAAATAGAAATATTTTCATTAAATTACATTTAGTTCAGACCTAAGTTTCGTCAGTATATTGTATTCTCCTCGTACCTCTCGTTATAAAGATTGTTTTTATCTTCTTAGTAAGCATCTTTACTGTTCAGATATACAGCAGGTAAATAGAGCTTTTTGTCAAGTAAAACATCATTTGCTTTGATTATTAAAAAAACAGATTTAAATTAATCAGGTTTTGTAAACCTGAGCGTCTTCAGTGCAGTTTTTTTTTTTATAAGGTAATATAAAGTTAAGCTAACTTTAAGCACAATTTATAGTTTCAAAGCAGCAGTCACGTAGCTTAATTAGGTGTGGATATTATGGACATGTAAAAACAGTGAACTTCTGCATTTTGGTAAAACATTTAATAGCTAAAAACAAGTAAACATGTCTCGTGCAACATACAACTAATTGCTACAGGAATGTAAAACGTTAGTTTAGTATAAGTTGGTTTATTTAAATAATAAATTGATCATATTGTACATCAACTGAAATTCATCTAGAAGTTTCGAAAACGCAATCTTTAGCAATCAAATAACAAAACAGTAAAGAAAGGTGAACAAACAGGCGGATATTTCAACTGCTTTGGGAACAACTAAACGACATTTTAATTAATATGCATTTCTCAAGCCTTTAGCCTAAGCTTAGAATCACAATCAATTGGCTTAATGTTAAGAAAGTCCAATAAAAATTTGCAATATGATAAAACATTCTTACTGATTTGTTTTATAGTATGAATGTTATTCAGAATTGCTTTAAGATTTTCTATGGGGGAATAACATGTAAAAATGATAATTCTAAAGCCAAATCATTGTACGTATATTTTGATGTGGGGACGTAATGGAATGTTAGGCTAACACAAGGAAATAAAAGTAAATAATGGTTCACTAAAAAGTTCAGTAGCTTATAGCAGACTATTCTCTAAACTTTTAGCTACAGTGATAGTTTCCAGAGAAACAAAACGATTGCAATATATCAACACTTAGTGAAACACTAATATTTCATTTGTTTGGACAGGTACATGCATATCTTGATATCTCTCTTCTGTCAAGTTAGTATCATTGGAGAAAGTGAACATAGAACTTTGTAAAATATAAAACAAATCAAAATACTAAAAGTATCTAAGTTTCGCTATGCAATTAATACTTTATGGAATAATTCAATAGGAAAATTCTTATTATATTTTACTCAATAACCAAACCTTATGTGATTGGGTCCAGGAGTACAGGTTGTAGCACAAGTGCCTGAGGCAGGGCCTGTACCTCCACCAAACATGGTAGTAATTCCAGCTGATATAGCTTCTCTGACTAGTTGAGGGCAGATAAAATGCACGTGGGAATCTAACGCACCCGCTGTGAGGATCAGACCTTCTCCAGCTATAACCTCAGTGCCAACCCCCACTACCATGTCCAACATTACAGAATCCATAACATCTGGGTTTCCAGCTTTACCAATTCCTGCAATCAATCCATTCTGACAAAAGATAAATAAAAACTTAATTGATGGTCTATGCATAATATATATATATATATATTGCCACACAAGCTGAGGTACCCGTCCTTTGTCTGGGTTATGAACTTTAAAAATGTAGGGATGGTTGATAAATAAAACAAAAATTTCACAAAATTTATTTATAGCATAATATATAATTACAGTATTCATTATTACCTCACCAAAATTTTTGTATAAGCTTTAAAAACTCAATATGTATATACTTAAAATATAGTATTCACAGTGCGATAGTCAGGGTGACTTTGTAGGAAGAGGTAGCTGCCAAAATAGTGGTGGTAGAGATGCTCTCTGTTACCCACTTTCAACACCCAATGTCCTTCCTCTGTGTTTCACATGATTAATTAATTGACGATTATTGGGCGCAGAAGTGTCTTACGGGCCGAAGTTGAAAGGTCACGAGTTAAAGTAAGAAATGGGTGTAACTAAAGAAACGGCTCTTCACATCAGCATTATGGTGACTGTTGTAGTAGAAAGGTAAGCTGAGTTTATGTAGTATTGTAATAGTGGCGGCCATTTTTTTCATTACATTCCTCCATAGAGAGTGCTGGTGCATCCTCCGTTGTTTTATAAAAAATTTAATAAAGTTTTTTATTTTGTTGTTGTTGTTGTTGTAAAGACGTGGCGCCGTCTATGAATGTCGTTAACAATAACTTACGTCAAAGATAATAAATGCTCAAGAACAGCAATAATGGAGGTGGAGGGTTTGAGATCCCCCATTAACTTGCCCCTTGTTCCAAACTATCATCCCACAAATTTTAATTGAGATTGGCTCAACGACCTAGTAGTAGTTAGATAGTGGACAAACAGACATGTACACTGATTTTCAGCCCACCTGATAATACAAGTGTATAAAGAGAAATGCAGTATCTTCCCATTTCTAATCGTAAATTTTTACGTTTGACATCTTTGTGTTACTGATTTACCGAGTCCCAAACATTATGAACTTTAATTTCATAGAAAATTGTTTAAGCTTTTTCGAAGTTTTAGTTAAAACAGACGATTCATTTGTTGTTGTTGTTGTTTTTATATGTCTAAATTAATCTGAATTCAACCAAAGCTTTGAGAGCTACGAATGAACTCTCCCTTTGCGTTTACAGGTAAATTTCTTGGAAAACTTGAAGTCCGATAAAAACAAACAATCGATTTACTACAAGCAACTGCATACTGAAAACTTATTTTGGTGGTGCTCCGAATTTTAATTCGAAAGTATAAAGAAACATTAAAGAAGGATCAAAATGTCAAATTCAGAACCTTCTATAAGTAGATACTTATGGATGAATCCATTTTGTGCCTATTGATAAACAAATCCATTTAAATTATTGAATATTCACGAAAACTTAATACTTTATGATCTTCAAATTCGATTACGAGGAACCCACTTTGAGACTAATAATGCTTGGAGACAGCTTGAATTGGTAATGAAGAAAAACTTTAATATAGGTTGAACATAACAGCAAAGTTATATTAAAGTTTTTCTTCATTAACCATTCAAGCCGTCTCCAAGTATTATTATTTTTTTATCAAAAGTATCGACATTGCCTTTTAACTCCTAGTTACTTTAAAACACGTGACAATGAACAAGTAAAAATTATCCACGAAACTTCCAAGTATTAAAAAAATTAGCCATAAAAGTTTCTGAGAGTAGTAAAATAGTCTGACTTTCAGCTTGTAAATATCCTCTTAATCCTTTCCAGTAGTTAAGAAAGATAAACCGATGGAAACTTTCAAGCTAACAGCATCACATTTTTATTAACGATCAAACTCGTGTTAACAATCCGCAGAAAGTTAAAGCAGAAATTTGTCTTGAGAAATAGCATTTTTCCAGCGACTATGTTGCATCCTATCCTTTTCGAGCTCCTAACAGAATTAAAGATAATGTTTTAAATAACTATGAATTTTATGTTTCAAAGATTTGTGAAGGCAGAAGGAAACAGAGATCTGTGCTCGTGATCACAAACTTATAAATAATAAAAGAAATGCGCCTGCTATTCATAAATATCCCCTTATTACCTTGTAATAACTGAATAAACAAATTAACAGAAGTTGAAATAAGTATAAAACTTGTTTAGAATGTTTTACCCTACAATTGTTAAAGGATTTTCAAAGTCTAACTATTCATGACTCTGGTAAAGGACAAGTAGCAAGCTTTTTTTGTTTTTGGAAATCTCTGATATTTAAATGGAAATAAACCATAACTCCGGAGAGGTTGAAATTACATAAGCTAGTTAAAGTGACGTAACGAGAATTGTAAAATATATATATTTATATGCAGCTAAAATATTACATACCATATTAATACACAAGCTAGTTAAAGTGATGTAACGAGAATTGTAAACTATATATATTTATATGCAGCTAAAATATTACATTACCATATTAGTTTGACCATGCATATCTAGAAACCTAGCTGTCCCTTGTATGGACCACAATGTCCGGTATAACATTAGAATTATATATGGGAATCCACGTAGGCCCCATAGGCTTTTTAAACATTCGTCTAAATTATTTTTATGCACCAAATTATATGTTAGTCTATGACTTTATTAGTTACAAGACTCCTAATAATACACGAGTTACACAAACAATGTAAAGTACCGTCAACGTTGCAAGTAATTCCACTAGTCACTGCTGGGGTTACCTATATATTTCTCAAAAAAAAAAAACTTAACGATTTCACTCAGTGCTTTGGGCCAGCTCTTTACAATGAGTCTTGTAACAGGCATTAATATAAAATTACTCGAGCGCTTTCGAAGGGTGGACCTTTCTTCTTCAGAGGCAAATGGTGGTGTGATCGAATGAGTGATATATATATATAAAACATCCCCCAAAACATCACATTGCACAAATAGCAACATTCGTTCTTATTATGCTTCTGTTGTTCGTTCTTCTTTACCCACAAACCCTTCCACTCCCTTATCTACAAAACCACACCAAATCGCAACCAGTGTAAACGCTACATGTTCCACACTACAATCTTCACCAGTCGATCAGTCTTTTGTAGAATTACCTTCATTAGAACACAGTAGTCTTTCATGTGTTAGCATCAACTCTCAGAACGACCAGCAATGCATTCCACACTCCAAACTTAACCATCCTCTATCTCACGATTACAACTACGTCCTCACATCAATATCTGTCAACATTCAACGTGAACCAATCGGCGACTCACTCAACTACAGCAGAAAACAACTATTTCAAAACTTAGAAAACTCACTGAGAAACGCATAAAACAATGTCAACATGCCAAGTCACTAGTGCATAACATAAAAACCGAAACATACATCAATCTCTCGCATTAAAAGCACCAATAACAATAGGAGCATATCATCAGAATTTCTGATGATGTAATGGCAACAGATCCTTGAAAACACCTTCTTAGATCTCATGAATATCACTAAAACATTCCGTCAGAATTCTGTCGATATTATAGATAAAGAAATTTCCCACTATTATCACCTGTACAACCCTTCGCTGGAAGAAAAAGAAGAACTACAAACATTTACAAAGAGAACTGATACATTCCTTCTAAAAAAGAATAACAAAAAATCAGCTACCTACCAATAACACCAATTCAAAAGCGCTTCTAACAACACTCTTTCGAACCATTTTCTTTGTCCTAAAGAAATTACCATAACGTTAAGCAGTCTACCAGAAACTACCAAATTCCTTTTATCTCACAATGAACAGCCTAAAAGAAACGTTTAAAAACACTTCATCCTCTAAAACATCCTCAAACTAACAAATCTGTTGAAAATAACAGTGACCTCATAAAACGTACAGATAACGATGAACACTTCCGAAATATTGTTAATCTTTAAGACATAACTCTCTCTGAAGCAGAACTCCTTAGTAAAGGTCTCAACTTCTGCCCAAACAACAGTTATGTTAATGAGCTCGAACTTCTTTGTGACCTTCATGAATTCTCTAGAAAACTAAGACTTCGAGAATTTTTTCACAACAAAACCCATCCTACAGAAGATCAACATACACCGAACTTTAAAGAACCACATTTAGAGAGTTATATGAGAGCTGTAGAAAGTGACATAATACAGACCTTAAAATCTTCCAAGCAATATCTTAATAATATTAACCAAATTGAAAGAAGTGCTTTAAACAATCTTAAATCGAACAACAATATTATAATAAAACCAGCAGACAAGGTTGGAGCTATTGTTATTCTTAACAAGCATGACTATAGCACGGATGCTAACCGGCAACTAGAGGACACTAATTTCTACAAAAAAAACTCTCACGGGATCATATAACTCACTTTATTAAGACTACAACTGATAAGCTTAAAGAACTTCTCCAAAACATTAAAATTAACAAAGAGACCTTTCAGTATTTGATACCCAGACAAGCTTTTCCTGGTAGATTTTATCTCTTACCCAAAATACACAAACAAAACTATCCTGGCCGACCCATAATTTCTAATATAAACATGGCTACTGAAAAGCTGCCCGCTTTTGTTGACTAATACATAAAATGAAATTCAATGTACCCTCCCCTCTTACATAAAGGATACTACTCACATTCTTAGCATCATATAATATATTAATACTGACGTACAGTTACCACCCAACAGTCTTCTTTGTACAATGGATGTTTCTTCCCTTTACACCAATACTCCACATGATGAAGGACAACAAACTCTAAAGTTCGCTTTAAACCTTTCTAAACAATCAGAATCTTAAACAATAACTGATCTTGCCAGCCTGGTTTTAACTCTAAACAAACTTCGAATTGAATAACGAGCATTCAGTTTAACGGTACTGCAATGGGTACCAAAATGGCTCCCAGTTATGCTTGTTTATTTTATTGTATATTGTTTATTTGTATATAATCACAAAGCTACACAATGGGCTGTCTGTGCTCTGCCCACCACGGGTATCGAAACCCGAATTCTGGCGTTGTAAGTCCGCAGACATACTGCTGTGCCACTGGTGGGCCCCAATTATGCCAACATTTTTATGGGTCATATTGAAAACCAACTTTTACAACTAAGCCCTGTGAAACATCATACATGGAAACGTTACATAGACGACATATTTTTCATTTGGACAGCTGGTCTTAAATCACTAAAAAAATTTATCTCACATATAACTCCTTTCACAAAACAATCAAGTTTACCTGTGATTACTCGCGTACCCAGATTAACTTTCTTGACGTCACTGTTTTTCTAAAAGACGGAATTTTACACACTGATTTGTACAAAAAAACTACAGACAGACCACAATACCTTCACTATAAAAGCTATCACCTCTCTCACACTAAACGAAACATTACCTTCAGCCAAGCTCTTAGAATAAAGAAAATATGCTCAGATGAAACAGACTACAGAAAACACACCAAGGATCTAAAACAAACCATGTTACAGAGAAGATATAAAGATACCGAAATCGACAGACAAACTGAAAAGGTTAACAACACCCAGCGGAAAAACATCCTAAATCAGAGCGATACTAAACTTTCAAATAGAATTCCTCTTATTATTACCTATCAGTTTACACTCAGAAATGTTTTCCAAATTCTGAAAAAAACATTTTCATCTCCTACAACTCAACGATCGCCTTAAACAGATATTTCTCGAAGTTCCCGTTGTCTCCTTCTAAAAAAGGAGAACTCTAAAAGATAACCTTGTTCACACAAAAGTGAAGTACATCCCACCAGAAATGTTTGTCGTCCACGTAATAAAGCCTGTTGTCAAACCTGCAAGTTCATAAAAAACACTGACTCATTTTCTGACAAGCACATATCCAAAGAAATTACTTGTGAAAAGAAATTAACCATTTACCTTATACAGTGTAAAAAATGCAATTACCAATATGTAGGACATACACAAACAACTCTTACAGAACGTTGCAACAACCATAAATCTTCTATTAACACCGAAAAAGATCTCCCTGTTGCTCAACACTTTAACCAACCCGTCATTCCATTAGCAATGTTTCTCTCATCGGCATTGAAACATGATTCAAAACTAAAGAATATAGAGAAATAAAAGAAGCTTATTGGATTGCTAGTCTAAACACTGTTCAACTTTCGGATTTAATCTAGATCCTGAAATCCGTGATCTCCATTCATTGGTTTCATCTCTGTCAGAAAAATAATTATTATTCTTTGCTTATTTTTTCCATGTAATGTGAACACTGAATTTCCTAAAACTTACTATTTATTTAAGATAATTTTCCAAACCTGTTTTTATAAATTGATTAGAACCAACTTCGAAGAGCGATCTACTCCAAGTTTTGAAGCAAGAGTGGGCGAAAATCCCACAATCTAAAATTGACGAGATGATTCTCACGATGCCCCAAAGGATCAACGAACTCCACGAAGCAAAAGGAAGATTTACTAAATATTAATTAAATTATAAATATATCAATTCATGTGAATATGACTGAAAAATTTAATTTTTTCTGAAAAGGTGGTGTCTATTTACTTGTGACCACGCTGTGTATATGAAATTGCAAAATAATATTTCAACACACTTCTCACGAGGAGGTATAAACATTTGGAGATTTCGTTGCTGCTAAAAAAAAAACATAGTAAATGGAATAACCTGTCAGAAGTATTGATGTTGAAGAAACTAGTTTCAACACATTCGTAAGTCCTCTTCATTCACACATTCATTGCTGCTCTCGGCAAATTCTAACACTTTATGAATGGAGTTATCCACACACAAAATAAGCGTTCAATGATTTTAATGTCCAAATCTAGAAATATTTGTTGCTCATATCTTTCACAACACTAATGTTGTACGAAGTTTCATGCATTGTTAAAGAAATAAAATCAGTCCAGACTTTCAATTTAAATCAAGTACGTTTTTACCGATTATTTACACATGTCCTATTTTTATGAATTATTTTTTAATGTAAGTGTAACATCAAGTTACCATTTACAATTGATGAACATTTAGAAATCAACGCAGCTGTACCGAATTAGAAATTTTTAAGATTTAACAAACATCCTGTTCTACACGATAAGATAGTTTAATATAACGTAGAATTATGAATGACATCAGAATTTTGATAACTAGGATATGACTTGTAGAAAGATTAGTGTTACTTCATGGGTCATGTAACTTGTCTGTTTGTACAAGGAGAATTCGAAATAATTGAACCAAGCACAAATAAGTGCATAAACTTCTTAACAGTTCAAGAAATAAAAGCTTTTAAAGAGATCGTTTATTATATTATATCACTGCGAGAGAAAAAAAAAGCTAATTAAGACATACCTTTATTCCAACGTCAGCTTTTACAATACCAGTTACTGCATCTACTATAAGAACATTGGTAATCACAGTGTCTAAAGATGCCTCACTGCTTACTAAAGATGCCTGTCCCATTCCTTCTCTCAGGACCTGGTGAACATCAACAAACACATGTAACGATATGAAAAGAAACAGAAGTTATCTAAAAAAAAATACATTAAATAAACTCCGAAAATATTTCACATTTAAAAATTATCTTTTATCGAAAAGAGTAAATTGCATTGAAGTAAGATTGTATTAATCTTTGAAAATCTAATTTAAGTATGTTTGCCAACATAAGTTGCTGTCTTTAAACAAAATATAGGTTTTAATTACAAATAACTAACCATTAACTTAATATCTATCATTTAACAATAATAATGATACAGTTAAGGTATATTTTTAAAATTTTATCAAAACGTTCAGATTTTTAGATTATACTTAATGACACAAGAGAAAATACAGAAATAAGTTTCGCCATTTTTTTTATATTTTAGATGAGGAGCTTACAATTTACACAAATCGTCTCACGTTACTAATATATAGTTATCTTTAAGGTCCTATTGTAGATATTTATAGATGCAGATCGTCTTACAGTTACTTCAGCATATTAATTGGTAAGTTTATCAGTATACGTCATCTCGTCTTAAACTTACTTCAGCATATTAATTGGTAAGTTTATCAGTATACGTTATCTCGTCTTAAACTTACTTCAGCATATTAATTGGTAAGTTTATCAGTATACGTTATCTCGTCTTAAACTTACTTCAGCATATTAATTGGTAAGTTTATCAGTATATGTCATCTCGTCTTAAGCTTACTTCAGCATATTAATTGGTAAGTTTATCAGTATACGTTATCTCGTCTTAAACTTACTTCAGCATATTAACTGGTAAGTTTATCAGTATATGTCATCTCGTCTTAAACTTACTTCAGCATATTAATTGGTAAGTTTATCAGTATACGTCACCTCGTCTTAAACTTACTTCAGCATATTAATTGGTAAGTTTATCAGTATACGTCACCTCGTCTTAAACTTACTTCAGCATATTAATTGGTAAGTTTATCAGTATACGTTATCTAGCGTACTATTGAGAAACCATAGATTAATCTGTTGTACGGAGACAGCTGTACTAATGTAATTGGAAAATGACAAATAGAATACCAGTAAGTTTAGAAAATCGTTAATATACGTTATATACTAACCTTCCCTCCCCCAAACTTGCATTCGTCACCATAAACCGTGTGATCCTTTTCCACCTCAATGACTAATGACGTGTCACCTAACCTCACCTGAAATGTCGATAATCACATTAATCCAAACTCTACACCCAATTCGGTCATTTAATAAGTTTATCTAAAGAGCATTTTTTGAAATTCATTTATAAAATTGACCTAAGATAAAGGTTATCATTTAAATGTGAAATTTAAATTTTTCTAAAACATTACACATTAATATAGATGTAGAAAGATTTCATCGTGAAAAGGGATCTACTGAAGTACACATATTGTACGGTTGGATATTCACCTTGTCCCCTACCGTAGGTCCGTAAATTCTAGCATACTGAAACCTTGGTAACGTGCATTTTGGTCCGGTTATGTCTTCATTCTGAAAGAAATATTGTTTCATACTTTTATATAAAAAATAGAAAAAGTTTCATATTTCAGTTGAAATAAGTTTAAGATCCACATTTCAATCGTCCCTGGGGGTCAGCAACAACTTTAATGACTTACAACGCTAAAACCTGGGGTTCGATTCCCCAAGGTGGACGAAGCACTGATAGACCATTGTGTAGCTTGGCATTAACACAACAACACATTTCAATCGATAACGGTCCTTAGTTCTATATAGATCAACATTTATACACAAACAAAATGTTTGTCACGTGTTTAAGCTTGGTTCCTTATTTGTCGAAACTGTAAGTTAGAAAATTATATTGAAAACATTTGGTTCACAAGCGAAGTCACCCTAAGACTAAAGTCGGTGTAAAAACATGCAGTGTTTTTCTTTCGAAACTTTCGTTTTGTTTGTTTATTGTTAAGCGCAAAGCTGTGTCCACCACAGGGGTTGAAACCTAAAACTAAGCATTACGAGTCCTAAAGTTTACCGATGGGGAACTTGGGAAGTTATATTCTATCAAGACTGGTATACGTTTGAAAAAAATGTGATATTTAAAGGATATGATAGAATGCATTTCAACTAAACGAACTTTCCTAACGTTTACTTTGAAATATTTTTGTCTTTTATATAAAGACACAGTTCCGGAAGACATTATACGTATAAATGGTTCCAATTTTCATTTCCGAAGAAATTCAAGATGTGGGCTAATGTATGAGAAAGTATAATCATTTTTGTCCACTAGATAGTAGATAGGGACAGTGGGAATCTCGTGTAATAAGAAATTTCCTTTTTTGTTTGTTTTAAATAAAGCTTTTTTTTTTCTATCGTGGAACTCCAGAAAGATGAGATGTACTTTATTAGAATATCTGATAAGTGTTCATTGCGATAAACTACAGTTAAATGACAAAACGTTTGATTTATAATACTAATACTAAGAAGATGAATTCGGTAAACACAGAGGAACTAAAACACTTTTTTTTATCAAACTTTGTTGCAATAAATAAATCAAAATGTCAATTTCCATTCGTTTTCTCAAAACACTTCCTAACGATTAGAATGACTCACGGACATTCTATATCTGGAGACATTTTTCGCTAAAATTCTTAAAAGGCACGTTGAAGCAGTATAATCAGTAAGTTTTAAGCTGGATATCAGAGCAATTTTATACAAAAACTGAACCATTAAAGATAAATATGTACAGTCTCATAATATACCGCCGGAAATTTCTTATAAAAAAAAAGTGATAAAAACGTCGCCTTTCCTTCTCTAGTTTCATGAAAACGTTTTATTTGCATAAATGTTAGAAACATTAATATCATAATTCTCAGTAATCTACACATATAAAATAGATGAACTCAAGTGGACTCCTCTACCCCCACCTCCCCAAGATCGAGTTTTAATGGATAAACGTGTGAAGCCGACGCGAAAAATAAAGGGACGTTTACTGCCACGCGTGGCATGGGTACCAATGCATAAGTTGGATTTTGGTAATGTACGTACTATAAGATGTGACGACCTGCGCAGGTAAACATGAACAAGTTTATTTATACAGAATCATTGTTATAATGAACTGTAATAAATAATCAACATGAGCAACATGTTCGTATTAGAAATGTTAAAATGACCTACTAAAAAATTAAGTGGATTTTTATTGGAATACACACATCACTCTTGCATAAAAAATTAATTACTTCTTAAATTAATTACTTCTTTCTAGTGTTTAGTACGTTTATAGATATTGATATAAAAATATAAATAATAGTAATGTAATGCAATTAATGTGTCTTAATGTTATTGCAACATAATACAAGCTAACGTGTACAGTATTTTTTAATATGGTTAGTCCTGTGAATTTAGAATAATATCAGAATTGGAACTCCTCCAATTTGTCACACAGCTAACACACTAAAGATCTAAACTGAATCATCAAAACATCTAAGAAATTAAAAGATCGTGTCACGGGGATTTAAAACTGGATTCACTAATTTTGTTTGGTACTGTTTTACAGATGACATAATGATTTCATCATACCTGATATTGATGGCCAAATCCCAGCATCTTAACTCTCTTGAGAATATCAGGTAATTTTACTGGATCCACCGGACCATCACAAAGACCATTTCCTCCTCTGACAACTCTGGAAAAAAATTATATCAAGTTAACATAGTACGCGTACATTTAAACATAAAAAAATCCGAGATTACACGTAAAGCTTTCATCAGAACACAAAACGTTTCAAAAATATACGAAACATTATTATTTTCACTGGCGGGATCAAGCAATAAAACTGTTTTATCAAGAACACCAGGAGACCTAGAAGACATACAGCTTCTATAATAAGCATGCTCTTACCAACATGGCTATATGACAGACACAACATATGCATAAATAATTAAGTACTTACCCAGATTCAATCAAAGCTTCGCCATAGGAACAAGATACGGCATACAAAGCAATAGTTATTTCATTTAATAAACTATCCTTGTAAAGACCTAAAAATGGAACATTTAGCTACATTTATTCGATATTTCTAATATTTTTTCTATAATCTTTAATTTAATCTTGAATTTTTAAAACTAGGAATTTGAGGCTATACTTCACTTGCGTCACTCGTAGTTTTAACTTCTTAGTTATAAATTAATATGGAAATATATTTCCTACGATAAACATCTTTTATTCATTATTATGGCCGAATATAATTTTTTTTTCTAAAAAAACTCTCCTAATAACTAAAACAAATATGCTATGTTTCCCAAGAACTGCTGCTTCTTTGCCAATATGGCAGACTATAAGTGAATAAATAACTACAGCTAGTTTTCACTAAGAACGCTATACTTAAAGACAGTGACACCTAATCGACAACAATTCACTATCAAATGCCATAATCATACCTTCTTCCTGCTATTTCCACAAGAGGAACCTCTTTAGTTTCTCCTGGTTCGAATCTGATAGCTGTTCCTGCAGGAATGTGCTGTAAAATAGTAAGAAGCACTATTATATCATTCCTGAACCTGTTTCATTAATAGAGAGTCGCCAATTGAAAATGATAAATTAATGTCCACAAAACAGAAATCAAAAATAAAATGAGAAATATATTATTTAAAGGGTGCTTTATCGTTATGGGAAACGTTTATACTTAAAAGTGGTATAACACTTGAAGACCTACTCCGCACAACAATGGGAGGAGACCGTTTGAACAGCATTGCTATTATAAACATTGAACAAGGGCGTTCGACTCCAAGTCTGCGGGTCGCGGGATCGAATCCCCGTCCCACCAGACATACTCGCTCTTTCAGCCGTGGGTCGTTATAATAATGCTGTCAATCCCACTATTCGGTGGTAAAAAAAAGAGTAGCTCAAGAGTTGCCGGTGAATAATGTTGACTAGCTGTCTTCCCTATAGTTTATCCCTGCTAAATTAGCAACGGCTCGCGCACATAGCCTTCGTATAGCTTTGCGCGAAATTCAAAACAACCCAAATCTTCTTTCGTTGCGCTATCACTGCTAAATTAGCAATGGCTAGTGCAGATAGCCTTCGTGTAGCTTTGCGCGAAATTCAAAACAAACCTGCTCCCCCCCCCCCCAGTGGCACAGCGGTATGTCTGCGGACTTACAACGCTAGTAACCATTGCCTGTGGTGGGCAGAGCACAGATATCCGATTGTGAAGCTTTGTGCATAACTACAGACCAAATCTTCTTTCGTTGCGCTACCTGTTGGTAGAGGAATCACTAAGAAACTTAGTCAACACCATCTTCCCAGTTCAATTTTGTGAGTGCATCAAACACAGCTAGTTCCCCATAGTTCTTTAATCTCATTGCAAGTATCATAAGTTCAGTTTTGTGAGTGCATCAAACACAGCTAGTTCCCCATAGTTCTTTAATCTCATTGCAAGTATCATAAGTTCAGTTTTGTGAGTGCATCAAACACAGCTAGTTCCCCATAGTTCTTTAATCTCATTGCAAGTATCATAAGTTCAGTTTTGCTTTTTTGATGCATGGATTCATTTGACTTATATTTCAGAAAATGGATTTTGATTGCATTGCTTTCTTGCATCTTTCTTAACACTAACTTTGACGCTTTATAAAACTGGCCTGCTGCTATTTCACTTGTCCGTAACCAGCCTGATTCAAACCACACTTTACACGCCTTATGACTGTAATGCATCACATTGGTCTTGACCAGCTAGCTTCAAATCACACAATACAAGCATTTCAAATCTGTTTGAAACATTTCCTTTTTTCCAACTCTTTAAATGCAATTCTACAAACAAAAAAACAAATAAATGATTGAACTCACCAGCCTCATACCATAGGCTTTGCTTCTGTCAAACACCAATGATTTATTAGTTTCTATAAAATGATAGTGACTCCCAACCTGTAAATACCCAAGAAATGGCTATTAAAAATATTTGGAAAGCGTAATATTCTTATACTAACACAGTATTCCCACAACCACACACATCAACACTGCACAACATGGTAATATATAAAGTTACTATTCAAGACAGAACATCAAACGCACATAAAAATACTTACAACTATCTTACTTAAACGAATGAAGTCCAATTAGAAACAATTTAATAAAATACCGCAAAATATTACATGTAAATCACATGATAGCATAAACATAACATGTTGTCTATAGCTTCGGGTTTATCTGGTTCACTTAAAATGAAATTGAGGAGTGTAAAGCCCTTCACAAAATATACAACCACATTGTTCAGCGGCAATTTTTGTTTTGTCTTTTATTTCAAACCATTAAATAATTAAGTTCATTTACATTTTTGGACAAGTGATTAATTGTGTGTCGTAAAGTCCAAGGTTTAAGCCACGATATGCCGCTCAATACGCTCTGCACTTTCAAGCTTGGTTGCTTAACCCATGTGTCGCATAATGAAATGCTGTTCAAGTTGAAAATACCAAAGTTTATACTTAAGAATAAAAATATTTCTTTTGGAGTATAGTTGATGGCTAAATCAGATTAATGTATGCAAATAGTATTTTCAGACATGATATGTTTTTCAGAAATTATTAGGCTTCACAAATACGAACAAAAACGTTTTAATTCTATTCTCCCCTTTAATCCAAGTCTTCAAAATACAAAATACATATTATAATTAACAAAACAAACAACACAAAAGCTACAATAAAGACTCTGCATAAATTAAAATAATCACTAGGATACAGGCTATACACAGCGTGATCACAAGTAAATAAACACCACCTTTTCAGAAAAAAATTAAAATTTTCAGACATATTCACATGAATTGATATATTTATAATTTAATTAATATCTAGTAGATTTTCTTTTCGCTTCGTGGAGTTCGTTGATCCTTTCGGGCATCGTGAGAATCATCTCGTCAATTTTAGATTGTGGAATTTTCGCCCACTCTTGCTTCAAAACTTGGAGTAGATCGCTCTTAGAAGTTGGTTTTTTTTTGTTGTTGTTGTTTCTTGACTTGCCGGTCGAGTATGGCCCAGAGGTTTTCGATGGGGTTCATGTCAGGAGATTGGCTCGGCCAGGGCAACTTCTGGATACCATTTCTTCCTGCCACTTGTGGGTGTTTCTAGCAGTGTGACACGGTGCTCCATCTTCCAAGAACAACGTTGTGTTCTTGTCCACGAAACCCGAAGAATAAAGTGGCAAGAGTCCTTCTTCT